AATTTTTGTCGTAGAATAATATTGTTATGAAAAAGTTACGATTCTGGTGACACAAAGCACAAACCTTCCAAAAAAGCCTTCAGAAGGTCGCAAAAAGGTTGTGATAGGATACTGGACAAACTAATTGGACAGAAGGCTTTGATGTGTCAAAGAAGCAAATCCAAACGAAATTTTGGTGAGAGACGGTGGTGAGGGAGAAGAATGATAGAGAGCTGGAAGGGTTTCTTTTTCAAATATTCAGTAGATTTGATTTGATCCAATTTTCAGGAGAAAAGCGGCCGGCTCGACAAAAACCGCGATGGGGTCGATTAGTTCAGAGTCTGTGCTGTTGTGTAGCACCACAAGCCGAGATCGGTATGTTATAATACAATTCAAAACTAAGAAGGCATTGTTCGGGAAGAAACGCCCCTACGGGTAGCTGCAATGACCTCTATAAAATTTCATTTTTTCCCTATGTATTGTTCGAGCTTTCAAGTGCTGCTGGGAAAGGAGCAGGTGGCCGTTTTCCGTGTTCAGGAAGGTTTCTCGTGAGGAGTCCAACGTCTGCATGATCTCTGCCTTCTCAATTGTGAGCTTGATTATCTTTCAGTTGACGGCCAATCTATTGGCAGAGGTAATCCGCTTTGAATCCAGGGTGGTCTATGAGGTCGTTAATTTGATTGACATTAATGGTTTTCTTTGGTCCGCTTGGTCGGGAATTTATGACGTATCATTGACTCCTCTATTACATTATTTCCATCTTTTGGAAGCTGTGAAATTAGGACTAAAAGATTTGAAAAAGAGCGCTGAGTGTAATTTTCCTCCGCCTGATACTTTTTTCGAGATCGTACGAGTGTCTATCTGCCTGCTCTCGCCGTCGCCTAAGGATTATTTCTCCCCGTATGGACTATAGTCTGAAATGGACCTTAGTCTAAATGGGGCGAGTCCGCTATCTTCGGACATTCCAAGGGTCACTGAACAAAACTGGGACCACCGCAACGTGGAGCCATCTTTCTGCATAAAAAAATGGTACGGCTGTCCTCAAGCGAGGGTGGCGAGAAAGAAAAGTTGTGAGAAATCGCTCTTACTGCTTGAGCTCCTCCTTCTAATTAAAATAGTGGAAATTCAGGCGGTGACAGAAATGAGTCGAGAATTACTCCTGAACATTTGTCACTGGACTATCGGTCCAGTGAATGATGGATTCGGTGCAGGAGAACTCAAATCCCACTCATTAATTATAGGAAGAGTCTTACGAACTAAAAATGCTGTAAATTCGAGAAGCATCTGTTGTTCAGCAATGAATGAAATGGAATGAATGACAAAGTATTCTGCGTTGTTATATTCTTTGTTTGGGTTGCGCCATGCATTCCACTTCAGATCAAAATACCAGGGGTATTTGGTGCGTTCTTCTAGTGACTTACAGAAGCCAAATGATGCACATCCCGTAATTCCAGAGCATTCTATCCAAGCATGTCCTCATGATCCGGCAAGCAGCTGTTTCCTTGTATAGCAAGTTATACATAGGGTGTCGAGAGTACCTTCTAGGACCAGTCTTGGAACGTTTTCCGTGCCTAATGATTGCTTCATATTTGTTCTTCTTTCTCGCCTGATCGCAAGGTTTCGGAGAGTTGTGCAAATTCGGGTCATCCATCCACATCTTGTGAAAATCAATTCTCATCCAATCTCAATCTCCTCTTTAACAATTCCATAATTCTTGCGAAGAGCTGCCCCTTTGCCAAGTACTCCGCATCTTCAGGTCGTTTTAGTTGGAATCCTATTGGTTTGTCCCCGCAAAATCCGCCTTCGGTAACCTACTCTTATAAATGGGTCAACTCACATACCTCAGGACAACGTGCCGGCACCCGTTCTTCTGTTGTGTGGTTCACTTTACCAAATCAACACTGCCAAACACTTCTCTTACAGTCGACTTCCCCTACTCCACGGCGTCTTTCTCTTTAGAGACCTCCTTTCCGCCACCAGACGTTCCAATTTTCCCAAACCTGCACCTGTTCTCGTTTTGCCAGAGAAATTCTTCAGTTTCTTCCTTACAGAAAGCTCCTTCAAGCGAGTACATAGCACTGCCCATGACGGCGGGAGCAAGCCGAGAAGCAAACAATCAAAAAAAAATTTCGAATTGAATAATCCCTGTCTAGGATCTAAATGACTCTTCTCGCTGTGCGTATCCCCAACGTTACGTACACGTCCTGAGTTCATCACCTACCTCTCGTGTTAGAAAGCGTCGAATGCGATCCTCGGCAAAATTATGCAGTTGAAAAGGCAATGATTCAGGCAAGGTTACATCGCGGTGTGGTCTGATCCCTGTTCGATCTATGCCCGATCATTTGGCCTTTTTCCGTGAAAAAAATCTGTAGACGAGCATACATCGAACGCGACAGTGAGTCACAATCTGGGCATTGCCATCAGGTCCATGACTTACGCTACATAATCTGATTCAATAACTATGGAGAGCCTTGAGTCCCCGTCATTGATCAACGCATACAGGAGTAATTGACTGCCAGTTATGAATGTTGAATTCTGTATAGTGGTAAACTTCCTATCGATTCGACTTTGCCCCAGCCCTCCACTTAATGCATGCGTCGTGTATCAGATTTTGATATCAGAGTAGTGCTGATAGTGGTAGCACTGACTCTCACTAGCAGAGTCCTTCATCTCCTACCATTGTAGGCGTTCATACGAGGGCTACCATCCGGATTGAAGACCCCCCGCGCCCCATCATTCGCCTTACAGATAGTGGGCTAAATTGTCATTAATAGACGACAGGTTTCTGTAGACTAACTCCAATACTGAAGAAAAAAACCCGCAAAAAAATCATTGCCAAACTGCCCTTAGATAGAAACCCATTCCGATTTCACTAGTTTGTACGTGCCCAATTACCTCCATCTTCAATACTGCCGCCCTTATCCGACAGCTGATTCCCCTATGAGAACTCCACGACCGTACAAGTGACAATTTCCATGCTATTTCGTCCTGCAGCTCCTATTTTCACTGAAAGGCAAGCCTTGAGGGCGGAGTTTGGAGGCAGAGTCACTGGAAAAAAGGAGGCGTCACTGAGCCTATGTTCCGCTATAGCGCCCCTCCCTTACAGTTTTTTTTTCGTCGGAAACCCGGCTACAAAAAGGGTTGTCGCTTGCGGGCCTACACTACTCTCCCGATGCAGTATTTTCAACTTTCTACACTCTGAATCGCGGACCGCACCTTCAAGGCGAAAGGGTGTACGGAAATATTTTCCGCTTTCTGCATTAAGGATTCCAGAGCCTTCCGGCCAAGCTCAGAGATACTTTTCAGGAATTTTCTCCTCCAGTACGTGACTGACGGATATAATAAGCCAACAATGGTCACAATGCTTCCAATATATGTATCCTCATTACGTCCAAGGGATTCCAGGAAACTTCCTTTCTTGAGCCTAACTTATTCGAACTATAGGTCTAAGAAATTCGGATTGAATGTCAGTGCCCCTTCGAGAGTCTTAATAGGCAGTTTGACCTCTCTGCTCGAGGGAACATGCGGTCGCAAATGGAACGTTGATGCGCTTGAAAGCACGGGCGGCAGCGGAGCCCCCCCCCCCCTCAGTTACCTTTCTGGGAGGCTAAAAATGCCTGCTAAAATAATCCATGCATCGACTCTCCATTTAATCTCGCATGAGTCTACTCTCCATTAATCCTGCATGGTCCATAGTGACAGGCCATATTCACAGAAGTTTATTTCAGCAATCCGAGATGCTGTAATAATACGTTGCAGGGCTGGCTGGCGCAAGTCTTCTATAGACCATAATCGCATCGAAAGTGCTAAATGGAAGTAGTAATACGTGGCGCATACCCTAAAGAGACTTATAAGGGCTGAGCTCTTCCTATCAAAGGAGAACGCTGAGCCCGAGGTTGATGGTGGCCAGAAGAGAGCTTGGGACGGGATAATATAATCGTTGTGAGAAAGGATCGTATTTTACGCTGTGGAGGGGTATTGTAAGTTTGCGTCACTCGGCAATGATTAGGGGGGTGGTATTGCTCTGAGGGAAAGTAGCCGCGTTGAGTAAAAATTTTTCCCGATTGTTAAGTTTTTGCGCGATATTTCCGGTTTCATTTGTACTTTATATTGCTCTCCCCCGCTCGAAAGCCAAAATTTTTGGGTGAAAACTGGAAAATGGGGGAAATTGGTGGTTAGGTGTTGGGCAAGGGGGGGGGGTCGTGCCGAGACCCTCTTTTAGGTAGGGGTCGTACTGACACACCATTTCACACATCACGATGCTGTAACCTGGCTCTGGAAAGGAGACGTCAACGCTGCGATCAGCAGAAATAACTGAATTTCTGCGGGTGACAAATGAGTCAAAAAGGACTGCTAACTGTAGAAAACGTGTCTTGACTTGGAGGAATGGTCCGAGTGTATATCATAGAGATGAAGACGGGTGCGATTCCCTTGATCGGCCCAGATTGTTGTTTCCTTTATCCCTGAAACGCGCATATTCCCAAAATTGCAGCACTTTCTCCGTTCAAAAATTCTTTCCCCGATTAATGAACGGAAGTTGAGTTCTGGCAGAATTCTCCGTCCTTAATCCTCGAAGGCGATTTTTCGTGAACCATCGGTCCAGCGAATGACGGATTAGGTGCAAGAGAACTCACACTCCACTCATTATTTACAAGAAGAGTCTTGCGAGCGGTTGATGTTGTGATGTTGAGAATATCTGCGGTTCAGAGAATGAAGCGCTAAATATTCTGCGAGAACCCACAATCCGCTCACTAATTAGGAGCAGAGTCTTTCGGATGGAAATGAGTACTGTAATTTTGAGAATATGTGCACCTCAGGGATGAGGGAAAAAAATTTTTGCGTTGGTCAAGGGACATAGAGGCCCGTCTTCATCTCTGTGATATACACGTTGCTCGGACCATTTTCCAAGTCTAACAGGATACGTATTTTACATTTGTCAGATTGTCGATGGTTGACCAAGGATTGAGTGTTGTTCCATTTCGCCATGGATACGTGATCCGGAAAGTGGCACTCGACAAGAAATGTCAGCCGGTGTTCCTTTGCCGCTTGTTCTGCACACGTTGATTGAATTGAGCGGCGACGGGAGCGATTCGTTGCAAATACGTGGCGATTTGTGTTTCCTGTTTGTTCAGCAGCAGCAGCATCTCGTCATCATCATCGTGTCGTCGTCGGCATTCCTGATCAGCGCCAGTGTCAACAACCTCAAGCCCCGATATCGGCCCCGCGGTTTGTCGTGTCACATGCGGGAGTCGGCATGATCACAGGAGATCTCTTCGACGGCGAAACATTCTATGTGTGAAATAGGGCTGTTCCCTTGTGCCCGCAATTGAACAAAATTACTTCGCACTTTCTTGTGCTACCGAGATCCCAACCATCAGCACAGCTTCCTACCTGCGCAAGAATAAGAATTTCCGGGGGGATGTAAGCTTTGAACGGATTCACTGACAGGAGATCAGTAGCATAATAACCCAGCTTCTTGGTTGTAGAAACTGTGAAAGGTATGCTGAGAACATTGAAATATAGGTTAGCAGGCAGAGTTGTTGTAAGTCCCACCTGGCACGCGCACGGTCCGGGGATCAAATCCCGCATCGACTTCCGCCCAGGCCAATCAGGCCTTCTATCCTCTAGAGACGGTAAAGCGGAAGAAGATTCGCCTGGGAGGATAGTAACACTGACTATGTACATCGGCTGGCCACCGCAAGTCATTGTATAGGCCACATCGCATTCAATAAGCCACTACGATTCTGAATGGAAGTAGAATGCGTGCCGCATCCCACAAAGGGATTGATCAACGGCGAAGACTTTACCTTTCTTTACTTTGCTTTTCTTTTACTATTTATAGCCTTCAGAAACGGAAACAACGAGCGCTGCGACTCGTTATAATGAAGATGATTACCTCCTTATGAACCGTCGCGTTTATTAACGTGGGGAAGGCGTTGATGTGTTTCCTTGCCGCTTGAGACAACTAGCATCTCGTCTTGTACGTACTAGACAGAGGCATGATTGCTATAGTCTCAAAACGGCAAATCCTTTTACAGCTTACAAGGAAGGTCTTTTCAATAACGGTTTGGCATGATGTAGGGGTCCATGCAAGGGCCACACAGATGGGGTTCATTTTTGCTAAACGGTACGGGAATGCCAAAAAATGTCTGAAAAATTCGGAAAGGTAGGTGATTTGGACCACCTTATTAGCTCCGTTTTTATCTGTGTTTTGAGAGTGTATAGTTTATGAGGTGAATTTTGAGTAGACATGAAAACAACGCAGAGAAGTCTAAATCCAAGTTCTGACCCCTGACCCGTAGACTGAGAGTCCGTCGCACTATCCACTACATCATCCGTGTCCCGTTATGAGATGCGGGAGCATAGAACATTGGATACTATGATTAATACCACATGCCAGGTACAGTACTTGGATTTTGACCTTCTTCTGCGTAGTTTTTCATGTCTACTCAAAGTTCACCTCATAAACTATACACTCTCAACGATACAGCTAGAAAGGAGCTGAATAAGGTGGTAAATAGCCCATCTTTTCAAATTTTTTCGACCCTTTTGGCATTTCCAATAGCCGTTTAGCAAAAATGAACCCCATCTGTGTGGTCCTTGCATGGACCCCTACATCATGCAACAAACCGTTTTTAAAAAGCTCACCATTACCTGAACGACCTACCTTCTCAGCCGCCGACACGCTGAAGCACGCAGTGGCGCAGTCTCCCTCCCCCGGGATAGGAGTGTAACCTCCCAAAAAAGTCATAGTTGCTGCTGTATATCGTACCAGTGAGGAACAGGGGAGAGCTGCGGTAGAGAGAGAGGGAAAGAAAGAGTTTGATCAAAGTTACTGTAGCTTGAAGGTGGGGAAGTGGTTTCACTCGGCTTCTCCCAAATTCTTCCAGATGTTGGATATTTTATAGCTCACAAAGTTTCATAGTGTGTGTGTGTGCCTTGCAATTGTAGCCCACGGGGCAGGATGTTGACAACGAGGATGTTGAGATTAAATCCAGTCATACTGGTAGCTTGCCGAGATATCAGCTCGAGCTCAGAGGTAGCTCTAATTTGGAGTTTCCCATAACAATCAGCCCAAAGTTGAGTTCCACCAGAGGATCCCGCCTATGGATTACGGAGAGAACCCAAACCTAGCAGGCCTTTGGCGAGCCCTGCATTGAAGGTGTTCTCTCATTTTCTAGAAGAGACGAGTGCTCTAGAAGTGCTTAGAAGGATTGTTGAATTCATTTTATGCTTAAGTTTTTCACAAAATTTGCTAACATTTCCTGCACATATCTTAACCGTTTGCACCTCCTTTTACGTTTTCAACCCTGGATTGCGGTGGGCTCACGACTTTCTAATAAAGCGCAGGAAGCCGAGGAAAAAGAAGGATGTGGGATGAGGGCAGCCAGAAAAAGCTGTTCACTTGGGATTACCCAATTGTAGAACATTGGTCTCAAAAGCTGCATCAGCGAAGGCCTGTACAGTCTTGTTGCTGCGAAGACGGGGTATGTCAAGGGGGATTCGTTCGACGCGGTGTCGGTCCTTTTTCTTTAGACAAACGACAGTACTGAATCAAATCGTTTGCATAAGTCCTTTCTCATCACTTGTTGCAGCTTACCCTCTTCAAGAACTGGTGGAGCACGGGGTGGCTTCGCGCCAAACCCAACCTCACCTTACATGCCCCATCATCCGCAGCGAACAAGAATGAATGTTTGCGAAAAAACAGGGCTAAATATCGTGAGGGTTTGTTGGTATGCCCCTATGGATCGGGAAAAGGAACTAACATGCAGCGAGTTGAAAACGGGAAAATTCAACTGATGGAATTACAGTTTGAGTGGAAGGGTTCTAATTGAGTACTTGAAGCTCTTACCTTCCTTTAAGTCCTCGAGTAGGATTATTACGCCTGGTAGGACGTGCCTCTGAGCAGGCCTTTTCCATGGGAGCTCCCCTTATAAGGCCCACGAAGCTGCAACACCGACTCTGACGCCCACCACGCTCACCCGCCCACGAAAGGACGACCATACCCGATGCTCGTATTGGTCCATTTGCTCAATTAAATATGAAGCAAAGGGATTGGTATACTTGCTGCGGTGCTGCATGGATGTAAGGGTACAGACGTGCAGCCATATCTACCGTAGCTGTTATTGGCAAGATGTCCATGGGAAACTCGTCCGAAATTGCTTTTGAGTCATTAAGAACGAAGGCCTTTCTTTGCAGGTTTTTGACCCACCTTGTTTTTTCGCCGTTTTCCCCACTATGTAGCATCCTGCTAGCATTTAAGACCGAGTACCAAATTATCGCGCCATGTCTTTAAATGGGAAGACATCAGAAGTTGACAGCTGTGGCTGACCATGGCTAGCTGTTGCTGAACAACATCCCGGGATCTTCGCTTGCTATCGTACCCCGGTCATCAAAAGATTTCTCAGTTATCTCGGTCATTTTTTTGCCTTGCCTTTCATCGGTGGTCCTTACGATCACTGATCTGGCCCTTGATTTACACAGCGTAAACGTTTCTTTTTATAAACCCCGTAGAACTTGGCTACAGCAGGCTTGTTCGCCGCCTATATGAAGAATGCTCTGAGCTTGTGAGTTTTCCTCACCTTTCAGCTCCATCAGTCGCCGTCTATGTTGTTACTGTCTCAGCTCGGTCTTGCGTATGTGCAAGACAGCTGGGTAACCTTGCATGGCGCTTGGCGCTTCTATTTTAATCCTTTGCCTTATCACTACGATGGTCACCATTTAATGGTGGAGCCTTCTCTAGAATCACTGTTGAAAAACAGGAATTAGCGAGAGGGATTCGACAGTTGTAATTGAAGAATGATATACAACTATTAGGTTTTCTTCCTGCGTTTTCGTTTGGAACTGCCCTACAATCATTTGAAACATTTCTACACTCTAGCTTGCTCAAAATGTGAGCGCCTGGCGAAGCCATTTCAGCCCGGCAGAGCCGGAGAGCCCACAAAGAGGGGCGCCCGACGACAGCTGAAAGTTCGACTGGTGAAAGGATAAAGGATGAGGTTTTGTCACTGACCAATCCCTTTTTTTTCTGGGATGCGGCACACATTCTACTTCCGTTCAGAATCGTAGTGGCTTATTGAAGCGATGTGGCCCAATACAATGGGTTGCGGGGGTTGGCCGATGTAAAATTCAGTGTTATTATCCTTCCAGACGAATCTACTCCCGGTCAGGGAGCGTAGGAGGCTAGGTTGGCCTGGGCGGGAGCCCATCCGGGATTGGACCGGGGACACGCGAGCAGTAAGTGTGCGCTTTCGCACCACACCACACTAAGGTATTTGTTCAAATAAACCACTGTGTCGATTGAGATTGCCTGAGAGAGCCTCCTCCAATTGAAAAGGAGAACGTTGGTCTACACAGATGTACCACTAAATAACAGAAAGTTGGTCTACAGGAAGCCAAACCTGGCAGTGTTTCTCTTCATCGACATCACAGCCGCACTCGATTGACCTCTCTTTATACCTAATAGCTGTTGGAAAACAGTGTTCAAGGAGGTGCCACCAAAGGATTCCGGGCTATTCCATGGACATGCAGGAGAGCCTTTGGTCTCCGGTTCTATAGTTTTCGAAAAGCTTTTGCGATTTCTCCCCGCGACTTTTTCCCATAAACTAGAGAGTTCAAGCGGGCCAAAATCCGATCAATTAAGCTTCTTACCCCTGCTCCTAACTAACCATTTTTTTCTAACGAAAATTACTGTCTTCTCCCGAACAACACCTTTTCCGTTCTGTCAGATTTAGATGTTTAACTAAAGTTCCCTTTTTCTCAGAGAAACCATCAGTACCACGAAATCCGTCCTTGTTGATCACACAAGTCCAGAAGAATGGTGCCACAAATGGAAACTCGATCACGGATGTTACCAACGACGACTTTCGGGCAGTCGTAACAGCGTCTCCGACAATACTGCCGGATTCGGTGAGTTTGGTCATACTCCCTGATTTGTTTTCATTTTTTATTGCGAAAGCCGTTCCTGACGGCGACGAAACTGACACGGCTTCGATGGTTCAACCTACAGTATTAGGCTTTTCCATTATATTAAATTTCCAGCCTTTTTGAACAGGTTTGTTTCCACTTAAAATAGGAGATTTGTAAATGAACTTCGGCCTTTTTATTCTACTCTTCACATCAGCTACTTCTGCTATTGCGTCAGCACAACCATCGTCTGCAAGGGGTGTATTCAAGTCTGAAGAGAGGGTCTTATAAGAGCGTTGTATTTGGCTAGAGAGATCTGCATTCACTTGAATGTTGTAGGAAGTTTGGGAACGAGTAGAGATCTTCACGATTTCTGATATGGCAAAACACCAGCGAGAAGATGATGTCGTAGCTCTCCAGGGGATGTGAGGAGAAGGTGGGGAGGGTAGGGGATTGAAGTTTGAATCTGAAGGGGAGGTCGTACTGAAGACAGAAGAGGTGTGGAGGTAGATGGGGTTGGAATCCTGGGCTGAAGAGGGTCCTACGGTAGGCAATGATGGAGGAGGTCGTAATGAGGATAGAACGAGATAGACAGGATAAAATTTGAGCTTCGAGGGATCGTACTAGAGGCAGCGTGGAGGAGGTCGTGCTGAGGGATAAATTTTTATCGCCATGACGTTCCTCGAGGTACGATGTTATAGCTAGTTGTATTGGCCCAGCAAAAACTTAATGGTAGGGCTGGAACAGCCAGAACTCCGGTCATTCCTTTTCTGGTGTCAGGGCCACATTGTGGTTAAGTTAGCCTGGAGTGGAGACACCACGTGCACCCTCTTGTAAGGCCACATTTCCTAGCAATGCTCTCGCACTTAAGAGGAAAAATTAAATTTTATTTGTACGTGCTTTGAAACAGGCAACTTTATTTGCGTTATGTTTTGTTTTTACAAGTTAGTTGGTTTTGGTAATCACTTCATAGAAATGCTTTCCTTCCTGCGTCTCCCAAGTGAACCTACTTTCCCTCCTACTCGCTTTACGCATTACCACCGAGTATGGGGGCAGTCTTCTAGGTCATTTCGCCCGTAACTCTTCAACTTTGTGCATTTTCGTCGATAATTAATTGAAATGCTCGATGGTCTCGGTTTCAGCAGTTATAACAGCAGCTTTCAGTCAATGTGTCATTTTCAGTTTCTTTAGCTGACGAAGCTGAAATGAATCAGAAGTCATTCGGATGGCTGCCTGCAGCTTAGTCACCACGCAAACAATTTCTTCTTAAAGTTTTCTTTGTTAAAGATTGATCTTTTTCCGACTGCAACTGAGAGCTGATTGACGTGAGACTTGATTGACGTTGAGGCTCAGACAAGTTGGATGGGCTAGTCAAAGGAAATGACAATTTCTTCTAATCTTTTCTCGAAGTAGTGCTGAAGTGGTCGTCGCAAGGGTAATGGTCCACATTCTTATCCTGCGCCATGCTATTTCCATCCACACCTCTAGATCTCTCTTTCGGAAGTCGACGAACACAGTCCGGGGCAAGGGCCGAAACGATGTTGGGCGAGATATAACTAGAATCCAATTGCAGGCTCTTCAAAAGACAGCTCCTCGCGATAAAGTCGGCAAGAAATAATTGCTTGATCAATTAATGAAAACAGTAGATGATAAGTAATTCTTCAATCAAGGAAAAAAGCAACAAGAGCCCTCAAGAACACCACAAACGAAATTGCTCCCATACAGTTACACCGCCCTGCGATCCGTGGGCAACCCTTGGCTCGAAGCGTTATCTTTGCCAACCATCTCTCTGTAGTCTGGATTCATCCAATTGCAATGGAAACGAATAACGATAAAACAATACAAAACTCGGACGAGAAAACTCCTGAAAGCAAAAAAAAGCTTTTCAAAGACACGGCCGTCCCGAATTTGGGTACGTAAATCCTTCGCGCGCAACGGCCGAAGGCGGACTTTCATATGGCTTTTGAGCCAACTAACAGCTGCGGTAGATATGGCTGCACGGCTGTGTTCTAGCCACTCCGTAAGCCATCGCTCTATTGCCCACCAGAAACCTCGTGCATCACTTCCGTGAGTAATTTATTCGCATTATCGCATCTCTCGCTTTGATTCACTTCATCTTACCCTGAAGGATAAGTTGCATTCTTGATACGGTGTGTATAGTGCGCCTACTCCAACGTCCGCAGGCAACTGACATAGATGTCATGTTGAAAAGTGGAAGAGCGCGGTTATTTAAGGCACATCGCGGTCGTAAAATGACTTGCAATCCCTGAGTATTGCCGCGTCCCAGAACATGACGCGTATCTCTGAGCGTGGGCTTCTGCGCTGCAGAGCCGTGAAAGCCTACGTCAAGTGAGGCGGTTTCCAGCTGTGGGGCGCGGCGTTTAAATCTAGAGCTTTGAGCGGACTGTAACTCGCTTCTTGCTCACTTGGGAGTTGGCGGACGGCTGGGACAGCACTCTAGCCTTGGGCGGTGAACTACCCTGTACAGTGAGGACGACCATGGACTACTCGAGCGCGGGGGGCTGTCTTTGAAGGTTCGCATAAGTGTGGATTACGCATTAGATCATGTGACTGTACTGTGGCCAGGAAAACGCGTCTCGCCTCCAGATGGAACTACCATCCATATCTCCGATTACGCCAGGTAAGCGTAGGCGCGTATCTTCTCAAAACATGCGCGAATACGATGGGACATTTATGGGATTTCCAAATTTCAAGACATCGCATTTCCCTTATTTCGGCGTCAGACATGGAGACGTTGTCTCTGTTGTGAAAGCATTTCACTGAACATGTGAAGCTACCGCTACGTTTCCAGTGGAAGTTAGCGCAGTCACGCCCCCACCACGTTTCAGGATCTTTCAAGCATGCGCTATCGTTCGGTGCGTAACACAGTAGTGATCAAAGTCTTGAAAAAGTTAATCTTGAAACGAAAGTAAATTTTAAGCGAACCTGTAGCGATGACCTCAACGATTCTTGGAATGAGTCAATAGTGTCATTCATTAATTCGACTTCATTTAGCCTGCGCTTTGGTCATGAGTTCAGCGGCATCCTCCCACATAAAATGGACCCTCACAAACAGGGTTATGACCTACAGCAATCTGCCGTGACACGGCGAGAAGTCGAACTTTTACGGGCGCGCGTTCTCGACGGCGATCAAAACGATCAGAAGCATCGCATGCGACGCGACCACTTGCTTCCAACTCACAGGACTCTATCTATGTGATAAACACATCATCAATAACAAACGTCTTGTTGGACTATGTCATCTCGTGTGTAGGGGAGGGGGTGCATCAGTTATACGTTCTGCGATAAGGAACCCGTTTCCTGCCTCTTCCAGGCCGTCGGTGGCTTGTTTGTCTCCCCCACTCCACGGTGCATATCGTCTCTCGAATGGAGCCGGCTACCTCGCACGCACCCCCCTCTCCAGCCTACAATCCTGAGACTATATACCGTGCGAATCACCGGTCAACCCTTGGTATCACCCCCAAGCACCCTAAAAACCTCCTGGCAATCTTCCCACTTGAGGTTCGCTACCATTTTCACAAGCTCCGCAGGAGTGAGGATTCACGTGATGGTGCTTGACGTCGCGGAAATTTACAAGACTTTGGTGGGTGATACGCGATGTGAAAAGGGCAAAAGAAAAGATTGAGCCGGACAATATCTGCATTGAAGATGTCACATGACCCCCTCCACCGCCATATTCTAAGCGTATTAGCGCCGCGCTTCCTGACATGCAAGCTAATAGGATCGTATCTTGATGCGTCAGCTGATTCAACCTTCGGAGTCGCTGTAGGTGGTATAAAGTTCTTGGCTGAAGCGACAACATTCGGATGCCTCATTCATCTGACCCCTCCCAAACGTTATGGCGAGGCCTCATACTGTCTCAAAATATTTTTCCCAAATTATGCCCGCTCATTGATAATGTCAGAGTGTCAGGGATCCAAATATTTTCCAGTTATGTGTGCCGATCAGTTTGAAACGGTGTGACGCAGGGCTGCTTGGCCACCCGAACACTTGTGTGGTTTTTATGTTTACTAGACTACAATTTTCGGTGCTTATGAGTCTATTCACTTATAAGGAATTATATCGCAGAGATGCAGTGAAACCAGTAACAACTCCATCAATCATACCAATTGTTCCTTTTTATGCTATCTCAACTGCTCGCGATGTATTGAGAACTGCAAGACAGAAACAGCAGCATCACCTAGCCGTTCCCATTCAGTTCTCTTTGTGCCCGCTGAGATCTTCCCCAGACAGTAACCGCTTGAATTACATAGGCCACTCGGACTTCAAGCATCATGTTTTCACAGCATGGGATGGTTTTACGAGGCTTACAGCCCAGGAGGCCACGCTTTTTTGGCCCCAAACTGGCTACCTTAGTTATCCATAATACCTCATTGCACTTATCTCTTTCATCCGCACCAAAAATATCAATGGCGGCCACGTCCTCTAGCTTAGAAACAAGGACAGTACATGCAGGATGGTGACTCCAGATGATCTGCTTTCTTGTGGATAGTTTCTCATGTTACAGAGCTTGCGTTTTGCAATGAGCAGTTTAGGGCAAACTTTTTCCTGCTTGGCGTGAATACAGTGACTCGCCGAAAATATCTCCTCGAGGTGATTTCCAACACATTTTTCATGCATTGTGAGTGCAGCACAACTCCTTCATAGTCCTTAGGGTGAGGGTATAGTGGTGGTCCTCCTGCTTCACTACTATCAACCGTTTGCAACTCAGCGTGTGCTTCAATAGTTTGTAGGTGCAGCTTAGATATTCCACAGAAAAAAAACTGTCAAGAATATCCCCCTACATGGCTTTGGGTCGCCACAGTACCTCTCTGCAGACATTGTGCTGCACTTATTAGGATGGATCGCTGGCGCCCCACTATGATCCAAAGGCGTTTCTGTGCGAAAGAAAATACTTTCCGCAATATACTTTCGAATGGTCCACTAAGGGCACGTGGGCGTACCGAAGAAATGTATTGGTAATTTGATCTTAAGTTATGCTCCCGCCTCTTTTCTTCTGCAATACACCATCTGCAATTACCCCTTGAGCTCTCGGGTCGAGACTTCGCATAATAAGTTGCGGTCCTGGTCTACGCGTGGCTGTTTAGACAATTCGACTACCCCGCCTACTCTCGCAGGTACCCAAATCCACATGCCTAGCGGGCATCCAACAAACCTCCACCGGACTAATTGTGCGCGCTGCCGAGAATTCTACGATGGTAGGCCCTGCTTGTTGTGTCAGAAGCATCATTCTGTTTCGTCGCAGTGATACCCTGTGGCGGCGACCGTGTCGTGATAGTACTGTGATAGTGCGTACTTCAGGATTATGATAGTGTGAAAATGCGTCCGATCAGAATTGATAAAGTTTCAATTATAGCGCCTCGAAAGTCAACGAATGGTCGGGCATAAGGTCGACTTTTTTTGCGCCCACCCTGCCTTGATATTATAGTAATTCCAGTAGGTAATAGGCGACTAGAAGCGTGATATGAAGGGGCTAGAAAACTAGAATCGTTTTTGACATCAAAAAAGGTTTCTCATTTAGTTCACTCCAAACATTTTTATTGTTTTGTACCAATCAACGACATATCGCAAAACCAGTTTTGCCACTTCCCCTAGTCGGGCTCTTTCGTCGTCCGAACTGTAGCTATTGCGCATCGACGATAATGATAATACTACGGTCCAGAGATCAGCTGTTGGCTTAGTTTTAGTGACTTCAGTCAAGTTCAGTCATGTTGCTGCAACTTCTGGAAACTCGTTTCAACGTCGCCTCGGTCATTTGATCAAGACATACGCTGACCGGGTAAAGAAACAATTGAGAATTTTGGAACGACGACGCAGTCTCAGAATCGGGGGACTGGCCTCAGAGCGACCCTCAGAGCTAATCTTTCGAGAAATACCCTACCCTTCCGTTTCTGATTTTGTAATTTGTTTTAGGATTGAAGGCGATTGTTCCGGAAATATATCCCGATTCAGGCTCTGAAAAAGCCCTGCAGGCGGAATAAATTCTCGCACCAGTACCGGATGGCTCGGGATCAACAAAATGGCCCAGAAAACCTCCTGAGCAACGATCAGGTCCCGAGATGATTTCGGCAGTGCTCGGCTTCTTCTCCTTTTTCCAGTGCATACGTAACACTGCTCTGCCCCCGCATCATTCCTTACATACATATGATGAGGGGCAGGGGTCTAACTCTTGTCCTGCTACAGCAATTAATCATAGAGCACGTCTATGCGTTTCAAGAACTTAACGGAGATGGCCATCCATCACAAGTGATGCATATAGCATTGTTTGCCCCTATTTCAACTGTTCTCTGTACAGGGGCAGGTGTAAAACCAGTAAATTGGTTATACACGAGCTCCTGCAGGGTTATTTGCACCATGATGAGTATTTTAATAATATCATGAGCCTATGTAAGGGCAGTTTCCAGGCTGACTTGTACCATTTCATAGCTTCACAAGAACTTTAAATGAGACCCCATAAGTAACAGGAACTAAGGAACCAGGGACATGGGGCAAGGAAAAGGAAGTGACGAACCAGTGAATGCCCCACCTCTAAGCCAAACAGCACCCTTTTCTGTTTTGCTACTTCTAGCATCGTCTAAAATTTGTGGTGGCATCCGTATCAGGAAGTTTCAAACAAAAATTGGAATTGCTGAATGAGAGAGTACCTCATCCTCAAAGATCAGGAGCAGCGAATTTCAACACCGAGCCTGACCCACGGATAAGGCAGAGTGTTACCACGCGAGTAATGCTCAGAATTCGAGCCTGATGGTCGTTGGGTCCTAGCTGGATTCCAAATTGGGGTCATGTCTTCTGCCCATAACTCTGAGCATTTGTGATGAGTCAAAAAGTCGAAGCTACATGAGTTACATATAAGTAGATTTCACGGGAATAGCTGAAAGGGTACTTGACGGCGCAGTAGTTGTGAAGCGCTTCTATTGCTCGCTACTCGTGACGTCGCTTCAGTCGCCCTCGATTTTTCAGGGTATTTTTTCACTCAATCTGAGGGGGAGGTTGTAGTGACATGTGGCGCGTTCACCAGAAGCACGGCCCGGGAATCAAGTCCTGGATTGGTTTCCGCCCAGGTCAATGAAACCTTCTACCGTGGTAATTTAGGTACCAGATTTGTCGGGGGCAGAAGAACGCTAACTGTCCTTTTTAATGCTTTTAGCGCGATCTTAGAGTCGTAAGAATTTAGAAGTAGTACTGTGAGGAAAGCGCAACCTGAACTAATGTTCCCTGAAAACAAAATGTGAAACCAGGTGATCGAATGAGTGAGATAGGTGAACAGTAACGCCTTCAGCGATACTCCTCCTTCTCCACTGTTCCATATAGGAGACGTTAGAAGGCCCCTGAGATTCTGAATAGGAATCCGTCTCGTGGCGCATCCAACGAGAGTGAGCATGCTGCAACCCTGTTCATTGCATGTATTCAAAAGTGCATACGATTTATCATGTGACCAGTAGTTTCGTAAGTCCCTTAAAGGCAATTAGCACGATGATTTGGTACTCGGCCTAAAATGCTAGTAGGGCGCTATTAGTGGGGAAATGGCGAAAGAACGGAGTGAAACGGTCAAAATCCTGCGAAGAAAAAGCCTCCGTTCTCAGTGACTTGAAATCAATTTTGGACGAGTTTCCCGTAGGCATCTTGCCAATAACCGCTACCGAAGGTACGGCTGCATATGTGTACATATATCCATGCAGCATCACGGCCGCTTCATACCAATCCCTTCGCTTCATAATTTGCTTAGCAAATGAATGAATACGAGCGTCAGGAACGGTCGTCCATTTGTGGGCGGGCGGGCGTGGCGGGCGTTTGGGACGTAAAGTTGTGGCTTGATAGGGCCCTTATAAGGGCACCTTCCTCGGGGAAACCGCTATGCAGCGCCTGCCCAGGGTCGCGGAATTGTATCCTGCCAGGAGGGCGTTCGGGTCGGTATGTATGGCTTAACAGGGCTCTTATAAGGGTACCTTCTTTGGAAAAGGCGCTA